AAAAAAAAAAAAAAAAAAAAAAAAAAAAAAAAAATTTCTTTTTCCGTAGTAAAGATCCAGGTGGCGAGCAACCCAATTGGCAGTCCCCCTTCTGTCTCTCTTAGACAGATGCTTTCCCCTCAATAAATTTTACCTACTCTTGAAAAAAAGAAAGAAAGATCCAGGTGTACCATGCCTAGCTCTGAAAGTATGTTATTAAAAATAAGTACATGGGTTTGATGATTGATTTGAAATACTAACCATATTTTGTTGTTTGTGAACTTTGGTAATAACATGGCCTTACTCTTTATTTTTTTAAAAATCAGTGTTTTCAAGTTAAAAAGAACTGAACTTAAAATTTATTACACCTGAGCAGGGCATTATGTATGGCATATACTTGTAACCTCAGCACTCAGGAAGCTGAAGCAGAAGGATCCTGAGTTTGAAGTTAGCCTGGGCGACATAGTGAAACCCTGTCTCACACAAAAAGATCATGCGGTATGTGGTTATAGGCAATTTATGTATGCATAGTATTCTGTAAAGAAAAAAATAAAAGCTGGACTTTAGACACTGGATTATTTCTAAGATTTCATGGAACATTCTGTTTTTAATCATATATTTGCCACTTTTTTTCCTCAGTTTTTGTTTTTAGTACATGCTGGCAGTTTAAATTCCTTGTGGGGCATTAGTACATGTATATAAAACATTTTAATTCTCTTTTCATCCCCATTCCCTGTTCTTACCTCCCTTGGCACATTTGTTTTTATAGACAAAGCTCAAGGTCTTCTAGATTTTCTTCTGGATTATCTTCTGTGAATTTTCCAGTTTCATGTTTTATATGTAGGTTTTGGTATATTTGAGTGAATTTTTGTAATAGGTATAATGTTGGTATCTGAATTTATTTTTTTGCATATGGGTCTTTAGTATCTTTTATTGAAAAGATTATCCTTTCTCTGGATTGTCGTTTGCTCTTTTGTCAAGAATCAGTTTAACATCTTTGTGAGTCTATTTCTAGGTACTCTATTCTTTGTCAGTGCTTTCATTAATACCATACTGTCTTGACTACTGAAATTTTTTTCATTTACAGTACTGCTGTATCACCACCTCTTTTTATTTTACTTTATGAGACAGTCTTGCTAAATTGCTGCTCTTGAATTTGAAATCTTGCCTCAGCATTCTGTGTAGCTGAGATTATAGATAATGTGGTTACTATGACTGTATAGTAAGTCTCAAGATTTGGTATTATAAGTTCTCCAACCTCATTCTTTGGTATTGTGTTGGCTACTCTGGTCCTTTACCTTTTCATTTAAATTTGACAATCATCTACAAAGTAACCTGCTGGGGATTCAATTAGATTAAATTGGCATTGGATCAAGTTAGAAAGAATTGACTGCTTAGCGACATTGAATCTTCCTTAGCTATTTACTTTTTAAATTCCAAATTGAACTCACAATCAGGCATTGCATTCAGCTCTCACGTCTCTTTTGTTTAATCTGGTCAAAATTTTTTTTTTCTTTTTCTTTTTTGTACTGGGTATTGAACTCAGGACCTTGTCCTTTGAGGCAGATGCAGTGCCACTGAGCCAAATCCCCAGCCCTCAGTGACATTTTTGAAGGCTGTTTTATGGATTGTCCTTCAGTCTGGTCCCCCGACCCTCTTAGCTTGCTTTTGAAAAGTTTTAAAGTATATACCCTTTTGGCAGGAGAACAGTACAATGATATTTTCTTACCATAGTACGTCTCAGTAGGAGGCAAATGGTGTCAGCTTGTACCATTCTGTCTTTTTTTGTTAACTATATATTGAGCAGATCTTTAACTTGTCTATGTTGAGCCCCAAGTTTACCTGATATGTAGAGTAACAGTGCTGCTAAGTCAGAATGCCATTTACATTCTGCAATATAAATGCACTTGTTTCTGGGCTTTTCTCATTGGTCGTTTAGGTTTTAATTTTCCTGGGTGTCTTGGGTCATTTCTACTTTTCCACGTACAGTAGTATCTACTTAATTTGATCTCCAGCTTCCAAATGTAGGCTGCTCTTATTTTTCCTGTTCTCTTTACCCTTGTGTGCCTTGCTAAAAATAACTTCATTAGCAAAGCCAGATCCCCACAAAAAGTCAGATTAGTGCTTAACTCTTGCAGGGAGAAGCAGTAGCATAGGAAAGGACATGAGGTATCATTATAGGCAGGGTTCTATAAAATGTCTATCTGGATTAGGATGGTGGTTACATAGGTAAACATGTACATTAATTAGGTATAAACTTTCAGAGGGCATTTTTTATTTTTTATTTGTTGTTTGTTTGTTTTGAGACAGGGTCTCGCAGCGTAGATCAGGCTGGCCTTGAACTCACTATGTACCCAAACTGGCCTTGAACTCTCCGTGTTCCTCCTGCTCCTGAGTGCTGGGATTGTAGGCATGTATCACCATTCCCAAGCAACGAGAGGGCAGTTTGTGCATTTAAATATACACATGTTACACCTCAAATATCACTTCTCACTATCATCTTGGTTAAGTATTGAGAAAGAACAAGTAAACACATAGGTTCAATTTACTGTCTTTAACAATGTTTTGGAGAGACATGGATTTAGTGTATGAAGAACAGCCCTAGGTTGCTGTGAAACTGAAGAAAAAAGGTTGACAGATCTAGTATTGTACAGAGTATGCTTTATTCAGGGACGTACTGACTTGAAGAAGCATGGAGAAACTGGTGTGATCCCTAGTTTGCTTCAAAAGTGCAGATTTATGAGTTGTGCTCCTAGCTGGAACATACTCACTTTATTTTTAGACAATCTGAAAAGCCAGGCAAAATGCAACATGCCTATAATCCTAGCACCTCAGGGGGCTGAGGCAGAAGGATAATAGGTTTCAAAGTTCAGCCAGTTTTATGACTTAGCAAGAACCCCTCTCATAATACTAAAAAAAGGAAAATAAAAGAAAAATGGCTGGGGATGTAGCTCAGTGTGAAAGCTCTTTGTTCAGTCCCCAGTGCAATAAAAGACTGTCTTAAGAGTCAAGTGCATCCTGGGAGCCAGGGACTAGATGTAAAGCTCCATATATTACTTTAGCGGTTTCATTGGTTTACAGTTTTGGGGGAAAATATGAACAAAAAACCTAGTAGGATTACTCTGATGCATTAATGGTAGTAATAACTAAAGATGGTTGCCATCATGACAAATTTGAATCCATACAAAGAAGAATGGAATATTAAAAAACTAGATCGAAAAAAATTAACAGACCACAATTAACATGATTCAAACTTATCTAGCATTTTACTAGTATTTCTGTTTCTAACCTTAATCTGTGGTATAATTGAGAACTAGACAGTATAAATTGTAATTAATCTGGTTTTGTAAGGATATTTGGTATACATCTATATTTTTAATGGAATTACAAATACTTTCATTTATAAACATGTGGATAATTACACAAAACTTTTAGATATTTGAAGAAAAATTGTTCTTTGCAAATAAAATGTTTTTCTAATTTACAGGTATAAAGAAAGTTCTCCAGAGACACAGATTGTCAGGAAGTTGCCATGTAGTTATGTTTCAACTTGAATTTCAGATTCTGGAAATACAGGTAAATTAAAGTGCATATTGTGATAACAGATATTTTTTCTGTGAGATAAACAATTCCTACCCCACAGCTTCCAGCAGTGGCTGAGATGAGTTCATGAGTCAGGACTGCCTTTTTGCACTGTTTAAAAGGAAAACACCTCAGCAACTGCATATGGTAAGGATGTTGCTGACACCTTAGACACTGTTAAATTAATTAATTTTACAGTACTGGAGATTGAATACAGGGCCTTAGAGCCTTTTCATGGAGCTATTCTAGGCTTTTTGTATATATGTGTGACATTGTCTTGCTAGTAGGCTGTTGTTTCGAGAAACAGAATTTGGCTGATAGGCCAGCTATCTATTATCTACTAATCATATGCTTAACAAATTTCTTTAACATTTAGCATACTGAAACAACAGCAAAAAATTATCTCGCTCATTTGTATGTTCTTGTTCAGGGCTTTTTATGAGGTCATGATCTTCTGACAACATAGCCAGCTAAAGCTTTTTGGGGCCAGAAGATACAAAATATGTACTGGACTAAGGCACAACGCAGGGAGGGAGATACCTTTGGCTATGGCTTTAAAATAATCAGGAAGCAGACAGAATGGTAATGTAGAGCCCTACTCACCAAGATAGGGCAGAACAAGTTGAGACACCTTCAGAGGCTAGCACAGAGAGGGATGGGATCCAGGCATTGTTTTGAGGACTGGAATGGGGCACGTGTTTTGATCACAGAAAACAGTTTCAACCAGCTGGGCTTATAGGGAGTGTATAAAAGAGAGGAACAGAAGAGGGACGGACAGGCAGGCTACCTTGGCATTAGCTCATCAGATTGATACAGTGGATGTAGAGCAGTTGTCACAGTTGTGTCCTGTGGACAAGCTTCCTTCATGTGCTCAGGGTCGGGTGCCAGGATTCCTTATCCTTGCTGCCAAGGTCCTCAGCCACAAAAACATCCTTAAGCTCTTGCCTTTTAATTCGAATAGGAGTTGGTCAGGAGTCAGAACCCTCCTCCTTAGATGTCAGACAGCCACCTCCTCGCTAATTCAAAGGATGGGGTCCAGGTATCTAGGTCTGCAGGTTTTGCAGTTGCTATCACAGGACTGGGCTGGTTGAGGACAGGCTAGGGATTACCTAGGTCCCTTGTCTAATGACAGAATTCCTAGTGTGCATTCGCGTCAGGGTCACCCTTCATTACTGCCCAAGTGGCTGAGAAGATGCAGTGTGGCATTACTGAGGTCTTTTGAGCATATTCATGTGTCATGGGCATGGACAGTGCATGCTTTCGGGAAGTTAGACTGTTTCCCTGTGGGACCAAGCCTTGGGACTATGTGGGTCATCAGGGTGATACAGTTCTATATGACAATGTAGATCATGTGTTGAAGGCTGAAATGGAACATGGCCCCAAATAGATTGGTAACATTTGGGCTGGACAGCCTGTGCCAGGACCCCAGTGTTTCTTTTGGGAGGTCCAAGGACTCCTAGATGTTTTCCTATTGTAAAGTTGTGTAGTCTGACCAACTCTGTATTTTCTTTGTGGGTGCTATGTTTTGTTTTTTGTTGTTTTGTTTTGTTTTTTTTTTGTACTGGAAAATGAACTCAGGACCTTGTGTTTGCAAGGTAGGCACAGTGCCACTGAACTAAATACCTAGCATGCTGTGATCTTGACTTCAGTGAGGTATACCAGTTGTGCTCCTGTTATCCATTAATGGACTAGACCTGCAATCCATGTCAGGTTGGTGAAGTCATAAGCCTGAGGTCCAGTTCCTTTTCTGGGAATGTCTTTAGGTGTTTTGTTTGTTTGTTTGTTTTGGTACTGGGGGTCAAACTTGGGACCTTGCACTTGTGAGGCAGGCAACGGCACCACTGAGCTAAATCCCCAGCCCTTGGGAACTTCTTTAATATATACACTGTCCAAGAAATTGCTCAGGGGCATCCTAGAAGCTATGGGGTCTTGCAGGCTTTTGTGGGTATTGGTATTGTTTCATGGAGTATCTGGAGAGAAGTAAAACTCTGGGCAAAATTAATCTTAACCTTGGGAAATTTTATTTGCTTGTAGGTGGTGGGGTTTTTTTGTTTGTTTTGTTTTTTTGAGATAGGGTCTCACTACATAGTTCAGGCTGCCTTGAACTTACTTTGTAGCTCAGGATGGCCTCAAATTTGTGGCAGTCTTTCTCCTTCAGCCTCCCAAGTGCTGGGATTACAGGTGTGTACCACCATTCATTGCTTCATTCTTGGGAGATTTGTCAACAAATAGAAGATGACTGTCCTCTTAAAGTTGAGGTGAACAATGGAGTGGTACTTTCCTGGATGAGTTGTGTCCAAAGATTGATTGGTGTACTCATTAGTGGGAGTATGGTGTGAGAGATAACAGTAATATTTAACTTCACTTTAACTTGCATACTTCTGTTACCTCAGCCAGTGAAAAGTTGGGACAAGAAAGAAAAGTAAATATTTCAGGACAAGTAGCAGTGGCTGTCCTGTATGTTTTAGGAAATACAGGAGGAAGAAATCTGAGAATAACTTGCTACTCTTTGAAAGATAGAACCCAGTAATGGCTGAATCTCTAAAAGGACATGAGTTGTTCACATTTAAAAGTGTGTTGGTGTTTGGGACTATTTAGTTTTACTAACTGTGCAGCAGAAAAAGCCTACTCTTCCTGGCTGTTTTAAGAACCAGCACTTTCTCTCTGAGCCTTTTTAATTTTACTGTTCTTCTTGAACATTGAATTGGTAAGCAAGATGTTGGGCACAACTATAGGCAGCTGTGAAATGAACAGGAATTTAGGATCTGTCGTGGGATTCTTCAAGAGGTCTTGCTTGCAAAAGAGAGGAACCAAGGATTTTCTTGTTTTTCTTTGTTGCTTAGAGATTCTGATGTAATGGGTGATAAGAATCATTTTAAAAATTTTACTACTTACTGATAAATTCTACCATATTCCAGGCCTATTGTGTAGCATTCTTTTAGAATCTATACAGCTCTAGTAGAACTGCTAGGTCAAAGAAATGTACATATGAATTCTGATTGATGATGCCAACTTGCTTTTTAAAATGGTTTTACCATTTTACATATTGAGCATTTTTTTACTGTTAAGCCTGATAGGAAAACAAGACAATCACTGTGTTCTCATTTTCTAAAATCAAATTTTCCACTAGAGGGAGATATTTAGCTGCCAGAAAAAGTACAGTAATTTTAAATCATAAAACTCTTACTTCAAAATATTGTAAATATTTATTATTCAATAATAAAATCATTAATAGTACAATATTTGGATCAAAGTGATATAAAATCATATTAATAGAATATTAGAATCAAAAGTGACCGCGAAAGAGTGCTTTATAGGAAAATCTACGCAGAGTGTGCATGTACTGTGTTGGCACAGCTGTTTTTGTCAGAAGTGGCTGTAACACTGAGCTCTTCTCCTTAAAACTGCCCGTTATTGTCGGCACTATGCATATGAGGAGCTGCAAGGCCACCAGAATCAACGTGCATAGTATCGGCCTTCCATAGCCCATGCTGTGCAGTGCGGCGGACCAGTGGTTGTGTTTGGAAAACATGGCAGATTAAGTATAATGGTATGACTTTTCTCCCTGAAGCCCAACAAAGTGAACAAAATCACTGAAAAACAGGGACTTCTTTTTTAATGAAGAGAATGCAATTCCATTCATTATCACAGGCACCAATGAAAATCTGGTTGTTATGACATTTGAACCAAAATACTGAAACTCAATACAGGATGCTTCATGAGAGATATGTAAATTTTACAAAGTTCATGAGACCCTTTCTTATCCACAATCCTTAAGTTGTAGAAAAGTATGAGAACTGTGGGCCTGTAGTTAGAGTACAAAAGCATGAGCTATGGAGCTATGGAGACTCATCCAGGTACTAGGTCAGTCACAAAATTTGAAAATAAACTCTAGCTCTTCATAGCAATTTGAATCTTTTCATAGAGGCCAAGGACTCACTGCAAAACATTTTTGCAAATATTAATATTTAATATTTGATCCAAGAACAGTATGTTTTAGACTGCCTGGAACTACTGGTAGCTTATTTTAAAGAAAGGAAAACAACTGAGCATGAGTTTGCTGTCTTTACGACAGTTTTTGAAAATATAGTATAAAGAGGTTCTCATTTTTGTCTTATTTTATGTATTACTATACAGAGGTTGTGTTAATGTCATTTTTTAGAAGACCTTAAAAATTGCCCTAAATGTTGACATTAAGTGCATCAACTAACAAAAGTGTCTTTGGTATATTAAACTTTTGCAATTAAAAAAAATGATTTTTTTTTTCATTTATGACTAGTGTGACTCTAAACATTCATGAAAAAGTTTGTAAGTGGACATATGTTTTTCCTTATTGGCAATAACTTGAGAGTGGAATTAAATGAAACTATTAAATGACGTCTGGTAATGTTAAGTATCTTTTCCTGTGTTTATGGCCATTTGTATATAAGTTTGGAAAAATGTCTGTACAAACTCTTTCCCCAACTTTCAGTTGAGTTTTTTGTCTTTTTTAAAAATTGAGTTGTAAGAATGCCATGAATTTGGTATGGTGGTAGAGGCCCACAGACCCTAATCCTAACCTGTTTAAGTGGAAACTGTTCTGCCAATTCCTACTGTACTCTCAAGCAGATGGAAAACTAAATAAAGGCTATAAACCATCAGAGTATATGGAGATGTGTCAGATGCTGTACAGACAAATGCAGAAGATAGTCAAAGAGCATCCACTCACTCTAGCCTTTGGAAATACCCAAAATGTCTAGATTTACTATCATTAATAACAAAGAAGAGCCACAGAGATCAAAGCACAAACATAGTACAGAGTTCTTATATCATATTGGACAAAGTAGCCTAAAATCTAAAATCGTAGCAAAAACAATGCTGTGAAAACAAAGGAAGTTTTAAAAAAATGAAATAAATTTACTTGAGTTTGCAGATGAAATAACAATCCTTATTGTAGGGTATAGAATTGTTTCTGGCTTTTTGTGGGTAGTAGCACTGTTTTGAAAATCGTTATTCATAAGCCTTTGTCTTCATTTCTTATTACATTGTATAGATTCTTAGAAGTCAAATTGCTAGGACAGAGAAGATGAATATTTTATGAATGTTCATTATCAAAGTGATTTCTAGAAGGGTTATATCAATTTGGTTTTCATGTATATTTACCAGTCATAACTTTCTTTGGGAATGTTCAGAAATGATGGAACCCAGGGGCTCCTTACGACTGAGCTGCATATCCCCTCCTCTTTCTTTCTTTCTTTTTTTTTTGGTACCAGGTATTGAACTTGGGTCCTTGCACTTGCAGCACCACTGAGCTAAATCCTTGAACCCCCTCCTCTTTTTAAAGAATTTTATTTTGAGACAAAGTGTTAGTAAGTTGCTCAGGCTGGCTGCGAACTTGTGATCTTCCTATCTCAACCTCCTGAGTAGCTAGGATTCCAGGGGTGCACCATCACACCCATCACCAACAATAACATTTAAAAATCTTTCCTCAAAGGTAAAAATGTCACTTGATTGTTTTTCACTCTTTTTTTTGTTTTCCTTGGGTTACCAGAGATCGAAATCAGGACATTGAGAGGCAAGTATAGCACCACTGAGCTAAATCCCTGGCACTTGTTTTAATCTACATTTATCTTAATATTGTTGAGCAGAATGTTTTATAGGTACATTATTATTTCTCCCTTTAAATTTTTTTGGTTCACTTTCTTTACCTTTTTCTTTTCAGTTTTCACATTTTCCTTGGTTTATTGCTTATCTTTTATTACAAAGCCATTTTTTATGATTATTTTGAATTTTTATAGAATAATTTTTGCTAATCTTTTTCTATTTGTTTAGACAGTTTCTCTTGACTTAGTCATCAGTTAAATTTTATTTCCTTCTAGTATTTAATGATTTCAATGTTTAATTTATTTGGAGTTCATTTTGGGTTTTAGTGTGGAATAAGGAACTGATTTCATTTTAGAAAATAACCAATACTTTCAATATCGTTTCTTGATTCTTACTATTTTGTGATATTTCATTTTATATAACTTAAAAGTATTTCTGTCATTTTATTTTAAAAGTTAATGTAGGACCAGGGATGTGGCTTAGTAGCACTGTGCCCGCCTGGCAAGAATGAGGCCCTGAGTTTGATTCCTGGTACCAAATAAATAAATAAATAAAGGTTACTTTGTTGTGATACAAGGATTTTTTTAATCTTTATTTTAGAATAAAGAGAATTTGTCTTCTGTCATTACTGACCTCAGCATAGTAATGGAGCCCACAGAATACTCAGAATTAAATGAATTTGTGTCCAGGTAAGCTATTTTACAAATTTATTATTCTAGGGAACATCTTCTCTCCGCAGTTTTATGTTTACCATGTCTTTTTTCTTAATAAGTAAATATATCTTCTCTGATCATAGAACCATTACTATAGCTTATGTTTAAACATATGTCCTATTTATGAGTCTTTTATTGGGTACTTACTTATTTTATGTTCATTGTGTGCTGGGCATTAAAATTACAATGTAAGAAAAAATATAATACTCGATCTTTTGGAATTTATAGCCTATTGGAGAAGTCAGATGGTAATTAAATAATTATAGAAATGAATGTGAAAGAATGACTGAGTAACTTGTGCTAGAGTTTCTGTTGAAGCATATATCGAGAATCTGACTGTCATGGAAAGCTGTGGAATGGTCTCTGAAGAATGAAGTGAGTGAACTAACAAAGAGGTCTTGGGCAGGAAGAAAACCCGGAATGTATTGTGTATCTCACAGGGCTTTCTGCCCACACCACTCTGTGGAAGTAGCATTTGCTGTTTGGAAATTAAAAAGGAAGATTAGTGGAGTGTCTATCCCCCTGTACAAGCGGGGATTCATGGTTACTTAATAAACACGTGCTCTCTGGCTCCTGGGTAAATCTCTAAGACTGGGTTCTCTGAGACTTTGTGGAAAGTCATCAGTATTTTAGAAAGGGAGGGAGACAGGTCAGAAGACCTGGACTTTAGTCCAGGTTCTGACTTTGTGTGAGTAGCTTTTATTGTTTTAAGTTTCTTTCCTCTTTTTCTCTGCTATTATGCAATTTAAACACATTATTTCTAAATGTGAATTTACTTTTAGTTTTCCATTGCAGATTTGTAGTTTTTCAGATTGAGGATTGGTATCTTTAATTTTTGGAAATGTCCTGTTATTTTATTGATACTTGCTGTACCTTGACTACCCCATTCACATTAAAGGCTTACCATTTCACTTAGCAGAAGCCAATGTGCTTTCCATTTCTCTCTCAACCATGTGCTACTGTTGTCATACAGCTTATGAATATATGTGATGAATGCCTCAGTTCATTGTTACTATTTTTCCTTTAGCCAGTTACTTTTTTTTGTTTGTTTGTTTTTTCTTTGGTACCAGGGATCAAACTCCAGACCTTGTGTGCGAGGCTGGTGCTGGCGCCACTGAGCTAAATCCCTGGCCCCTAGCCAATTACTTTTAAAAGTATTTACAAATTTTTAAAAAATTATATATTTATCTTCTTTTTTAAAGCTAATTGTATTGGTATATTTTAGGTGTACGATATAATGACATTCATCATTGGAGACTTGTACCTTTACATAAATAACATGTTGATTCTTATTTTAGCCCCATTCCCCTGCCCTCCCGTCAAACCCTCCACCCCTCCCTCTTCACAAAAACTTTGTTTCCATTTTTTTCTTTTCTCATATTTATTCCATTCCCCTCTTTCCTTTCCCCTTCCCCTTTTCAGCTTCTTCCTATTTTATCTTTATTTTTCTAATCACTTCCAACATTCTTCATTAATTTCTTTTTTTGTTTGTTTGTTTGTTTGTTTTTTTGAGGCAGGATCTCACTATGTAGTTGAGACTGACCTAGAACTCACTGTGTAGCCCAGGCTGGTCTTGAACTCAGAGTGATCCTCCTGCCTCAGCCTCCTGAGTGCTGGAATTACAGGCATGCACCACCATGCCTGGCCATTCTTCATTTATTTGTGTTAATTCATATTTCTAATTGGTGTATATGCCATTTTTCTTTTTTTTTTAAATTGAGTTTATTGGTACATTTTAGGTATACAGTACAGTTACATTCATTGTTGGGATCTTGTACCTGTACATGACAGGTCTTGGTTCTCATTTTTTCCCCCTGTCCCTGCCCTCCCTTCACCCACTCTTCTCCTCCCCATTTATAAACACTTTATTTCCATCTTTTCATTTTCTACTTTTTTTTCTTTTCCTTTATTACCCTTCCCCTACCTATCCCACCTTCCCTACACCTTTAGCCCTTTTTTTCCCATTTCACAATGTCAATTTTCTTATTAGGATCTTACGTACTATTACAGTTTATTCACACCAGAGAAACTATTCGGTATTTACACATGTGTGACTTATTTATTTCACTTAGGAGTATATCCTCAATATGTATCCATTTTCCTATGAATGAATCTAATTTCTCATTCTTTATGGCTGAGTAATATTCCATTTTATAGAAAAACCACATCTTCTTTATTCAGTTTCCAACTGATGGGCAAATGGGCTGTTTCCAAGTTTTAGCTATTACAAACTGTGCCACTATAAACATGGGTGCACATACATCACTGTGATATGATTCTTTTAGTTCTTTTGGAAAGATACCCAACAGAGGGATGGCTGGGTCAAGTGGAACCTCTAGTCCCAGCTCTTTGAGGTATCTCCATATTAATTTCCATAGTGGTTATACCAGTCTGCACTCCCACCAACAATGGAGAAGGGTTCCTTTCTCCCCACAACCCTGTCAACATTTGTTATTGATTGATTTCTTGATAGCAGCCATTCTTTGTGGGGTAAGGTACAATCTCAGTGTTGTTTTCATCTGCATCTCTCAAATGACCAGTGATGTGGATCATTTTTTCATATATTTACTTGCTGCTTTTACTTCTTTGTCTGAGAAATGTCTGTTCATTTCAGATGCCCATTTTTGAATTGGGTCTTTATATTTGGGGGGGCTCATTGTTTTGAGTTCTTTATATATTCTAGATAGTAGTCCTCTGAGGAGCAGCTGGTAAAAATTTTTTCCTACATTGTAGGTTGTCTCTTAGTTCTGTTGATGGTTTCTTTGGCTGTGCAAAAGCTTTCAATAAGATGAGATCCCAGTTGTTGATTCTTTCTGCTAGTTCCCGTGCTACTGAGGATTTGTTCATAAAGTCTTTTCTTATGCCAATGTCTTCCAGAGTTCTTGCCTAACTTATCTTCCAGCAAGTTTAGTGTTTCTGTTTTAATATTTAGATCTTTCATCCACTTGGATTTTAATTTAGTGCATGGTGAAAGATAAGGGTCCAGTTTTAATCTTTGTATGCCATTTTTCTTAAGAACTTCCTTTTTATTATGCTAGTCTATTGTAATGAATTCTGTCAGTTTTTGTTTCTCTGAAATGTCTTCATTTGTCTTCATTTTTTGAAAAATAATTTTTGCTGGCTGTATAATTCTTGTTGACAGCTTTTCTTTTATTTTCTTTTTTGGTACCCAGGATCAAACTCAGGACCTTGCTCTTGTGAGGCAGGCGGGGAGGTGGAGGTACCACTGAGCTATCCCTGACCCTGGTTGACAGCTTTTCTTTCAGATCTTTTAACGATAACCTTTCAGTGGGGTGTGGTAAATATACATTTTAATCCCAGCACTCTGAGAGGCTGAGCAGGGGAAGATGGAAAATTCTATCCTAGCCTGAGCTGTTTAGCCATTTAGCATGATCCTGTCTCAGAATTTTTTTTATAAAAGACTGAGAATGTAGCTCAGTGTAAAGGCCCTGAATTCAATCCCCAGTACCACACACACACACACACACACACACACACACACACACACACAAAAACAGAAAAACATCTTTCCCCAGGGGTGTGCATGATCCTGTCTCAGAATTTTTTTTATAAAAGACTGAGAATGTAGCTCAGTGTAAAGGCCCTGAATTCAATCCCCAGTACCACACACACACACACACACACACACACACACACACACACACAAAGACAGAAAAAAATCTTTCTGGCCAGGGGTTTATTAGTTCAGTGGTGCCAATGCCTGCCTCACAAGCACAAGGTCCCGAGTTCGATTTCCAGTACAAAGAAACAAACACAAAACCTTTCATTGTCTTCTGGATTGTGTTATTTGTGACAAGACATCTGCTGTAATTATTATCTGTGTTTTTCTCTATCAGTGTTTTGAGTGGTGTGTGTATATTTGGGGAGTGCCTTCCAGTCTTTCTGTTACTTTTGCTTTTCCACAGTTTGACTGTTCCATGTCTAAAGTATATATGTAAAAAAATTTTCAGGTGTATATTTTCAAATGTTAATTTTGCTCTATTTTTCTGCAGTTCTGATTAGCTGATTTGCGTATGTTACCTCACAGTGTTTGGATGTTCTGTTCTATTTATGTTTCACTTTGGTTAATTTCTTGTAATTTCTCGTGTGTATGAGTGGTGGGGGGGCAGTACTGGGGATTGAACTCAAAGCTTTCTCACTGAGCTACAGCCGCGGCAGTGTAAATAATTTTTTGTTTCTTTTTTTGAGACGGTCTCACTGAGTTGTCCAGGATGGGCTCAAACTTGCAGTTCTCCTGCCTCAGCTTCCTAGGGCTGGAATTACAGCCTTGTGCCACCAAGCCTGGCTTGTCTCCCCACCGCAACCACCTCTACCAGCCTCTGCGTTTCTGATTTCTCACTGTGTTGCCCAGTTTGGACTCGTAACTCAACAGTCCTCCAGCCGTAATCTGAGTAACTGGGTTTATAGGTTTGTTAATGTATCTTTCTTCAAGTTCCCAGATTCTTTTGCCCTCTGAAGTACAGTCATTATCTCTTGTAATGTTTTTTATTGCTAATCTTTCCTTTTGATTCTTAATTTAATTTCTGTTGAAATTTCCCATGTTTATTTGTTTGTTTTTTAGTACCAGGGATTGAACTTGGGCCCTTGCGTTTGCAAGACAGGCGGCAGAACCAGACAAATCCTCAGCCCCCTATTTGTTTGCATATGATCCTCCTCCCCATCTAGATCTTTTACTTTTTTAAAAAATTCCTTAAGTTTATTAGTACATTTTAGGTATGCATGATGATCACGTTCATCCTTGAGATTTGTACCTATACATGATGTGTCTCGGTTCTTGTTTTTTTTCCCCATTCACCTTCCCTCCCTTCTACCCTTCCACACCTCCCTATTCACAAAAACTTCAGTTTTTTCCTTCTTTTCTCATTTTTAAAAATATTTTCTTATATTTTAAAAAACTTCAGGTTTTTCCATCTTACATTTTCTTCTTTCCCTTCTTTCTTCTCCCCCCCATCATA